AAGCAATTTTCCTAACTCTTTCCTGGAGGCAAGTATTACCCTGGTACCAAAACCACAGAAGGACCCAACAAAAAAGAAAACTACAGGCCAATCTCTCTGAAAAACACAGGTGCAAAAATCCTCCATAAAACTACTAGCAAACAGAATGCAGCAAATCATCAAGAAGTTTATACACCGTGACCAAGTGGAATTCATCCTAGCAATGCAGGGATATTTCAACATACACAAATCAATAAATATAGTACACCATATTAACAGAACCAAAGACAAAAATCACAAGATCATCTCAACAGATGAAAAAAAAAAACATTTGACAAAGACCAACACCCATTCATTTTAGAAACACTACAGTAAGTTGGAGTAAACTGGTTTTAACCTCATTCTGAAAAAAGTCATCTATGACAAACCAACAGCTAACATATACTAAATGGTCAAAAACTGAAAGCCTTCACTCAAAAATCAGGAACAAGAGAAGGATGTCCACGATCACCACTCTTATTCAATATAGTTCTGGAAATATTAGCCAGAGCAATTACACAAGAGGAGAATAAAAGCAATAAGGATAGGAAAGGAAGAAGTGAAATTATCATTCTTCACAGATGACATGATACTCTACATAAAAGATCCCAACAACTCCACCAAAATCTTTTAGAATTAATAAGCAAATTCAGTAGCATAGCTGGATACAAACTCAACACTCAACAATTGATAGTATTTCTGTACACAAACAACAAACTTACTGAGAGAGAAATTACTGAAACAATACCCTTCACAATAGCATCCAAAAAAATGAAATGCTTAGGAATCAATCTAACAAAGGAAATAAAAGATCTATACATTGAAAATTACACTATTCTGATAAAGGATATTGAGGAGGATATCACAAAATGGAAAGATATCCTTTGCTCATGGATAGGAAGAACCAACATTGTGAAAATGGCCATACTCCCAAAACTGCTATCTAGACTTAAGACAATCCAGATCAAAATACCATTAGCATACCTCACAGAACTAGAGAAAACATTTCTAAGATTTATCTGGAACCAGAAGTGACCTAGAATAACAAAAGTAATCCTGGGGAACAAAGGCAAGCCAGGAGGCACCACAATCATACGCCCAAAATTATACTACAAAACTACTGTGGTAAAATCAGCATGGTACTGGCAAAGAAATAAACCAGAGGATCAGTGGAACAGAAGATGTAGACTCATCCCAAACATACTCAACCACCTACCTTTGACAAAGGAACCAAATATGTTCACTGGTAGGCTGGGAATATAGCTCAGCAGCACAAGCACCTGCCTGGCAAATGCAAAGTCCAGAGTTCGATTTCCAGTACCAAAAAAAAAAAAAAAAAAAAAAAAAAAGACCAAAAAACAAAAAAAGCTCATGGCTCAAACATGTTCACTGGAAAACGATAGCCTGTTTAACAAATGGCTCTGGAAAAACTGGATGTTCACATGCCAAAGACTAAAAGTAGACCCATGTCTATAACCATGCACTAAACTAATATCAAAATGGATCAAAGATCTAAATATTAAAATAGAAACAGTAAATCTACTGGAGAGACAGTACGTAGACATCTTGAAGACATAGGGGTAAGTGGAGAGATCATGAACAAAAACCAAACTGCATGAGAAGTACTTCAAAGAATCAACAACTGGGGCTGGGGATTTAGCTCAGCGGCAAAAGCGCCTGCCTGGCAAGCGCAAGGTCGTGAGTTC